TTCAGTGATTAAGGATAGACAATAATTGAGGCAAAAAAAATGGCCTAGTTTGCCTTCACTAAAGAATCAATCTCGGAAGGGAAGGCCCTCAAGAGTTTCTGGACAGAACAGAAACAATTGCTGTTTACATTCACTCTGAGCCATCAAAACCCAAATGATGAGCAAAAGTTCAAGTCCTTCTTCTGACATGTTCTTCAATTGTGTCCAACTCTTCATGAATCCATTTGGGATTTTCTTGGCAAAGATACTGGAGTGGTTTGCCATTTCCTTCTCCAGCTCATTTTACAGATGAGAAAACTGAGGCAAACAGAATGAAGTGACTTGCCCAGTATTACCCAGCTAGTAAGTGTCTGAGGCTGGATTTGAACCCTGGAAGATGAGTCCTCCTGACTTCAGGCTCAGTACTCTATCCACTTCACCATCTAGGTGCCCCAACCTGAGTATGACCTTGGGCAAATCACTCTCAGTGTACATGGGAAACTCTTTAAGACTATTTAGTTGCAGAGAAGGTGCTGATGGTCATAGGCAGAAGTACTTCTTCCATGAAAGCTCCTTAAACTATTAAAAAAAAAAGTCTGATTAAAAATAATCAAATAATAACTCTACAAACACAGTTTCAGAAAAACTTGGGAAGACTTATATGAACTAATACAAAGTGAAGTAAGCAGAACCAGGAAAAATGGTTTACAAAGTAACAATAGTATTGTAAAGATGTAACTGTGAAAGATTTAGTAACACAATAACCCACCAAAATTCCAAAGGACTCACCATAAAAAGTGCTATTCACTTCCAGATAGAAAACAATAGACTCAGAGTGCAGATTGAAGAACATTTTTTTTATTTTTCTTGGGGGTTTTTTTTGAGGGAGAGACATAGAGAATGCAGAAATTTGTTTTAAGTAACTTCATATTTGTAATAGGGTTTTTATTTCTTGCCTTCTCAATGAGTAGGGGAGGGAATGTGAGAAGGGGATAATTAGGAACTGAAAATAAAACAAAATTGAATTATTTTTTAAAAAAATCAAAGAAATCTCATATTATACGTATAGTCTCTATTGTAGGGCATCCTATATTTGGACAAATACCACTAAGTATAGTTGTGGCTTAAACTGGTTCATTATGTATTTTTAAAATCTATAACTGGTTTGCAATTCATAGAGATAATTAATATTGGGGGTTAGTTCTATGTTCAACAAAGGGCTCTTAGAGGCCAATTATTTCAGCTCATACTGAACATGATTCCCTTCTGCAATACATCCAGCAAGTAGTTGTCTAGCCTTTGCTTGAGGACATCCAGTTAGACCAAAGGTCTAAGTATCATTGAGCCACTTCTTTGGCCATCCCAGGAACCAGATTCAAACAACTGTAATATATAAACAGAATCAATAAATGTGAATTGATTGGAATGAAGAAAAGCTTGCCCCCTAGATTACTTAGGTTTTTAAAGCCCAAGGAACTAGTGATTCAGAGCCTAGTCACCACTCCACTCCCACCCCTCAAAATCACTACTGTGATTTTGTGAATTGTAAACAACATATGAGTCACTTTTTACATTTTCCTTGTAGCTTACTTCATCTGGGAGTTCAGAGACCAGGAGTCCTTTGTCACAGCCCAAAGAAGTGATGTTTATCATTAGTGACACTCATAGAAAAGCACCCAGTTGTCCTCATCCTCTTTCTAGGAGCCAGGCAGTGGCTTTTCTCCCAAGGTGTTTTTGTCCATCAGAACTTGTTAGGTGAAAGGAGGAAGGAGCTTGAGGAAAGGAATATCTTTTGGCATTTTATTTTATCTTTTTGAGATCTCCTCCCAGCTTCTGACAACTCCACTCAGGTCTGACAGCCTGTGTGATTCCTCAGAATATGCCTCTGAGGAGCTGACATGTACTAATTTAGCCTGCCACTAAATCAAGATATAAGCTGCTTTATTTTTTTTTTAATCTTTCCCACTATACCTCCCCCACCCCACTCTCTTCAACTTCAACTATAGCTGGTATTTTTCCCAGGAACCAGCATGGGACTGGGCCATTAACATATAATTCACAGATCAAAGAGAAACTGAGTTTGGGATTGGAATCTAACTTTGGGCTAAGGGTCAATGGAAAGGAAAGGACTCTGAGGATATCTAGAGGCTCCACCCACATCACAGCCAATATCCTACATTTGATGTAGGCAACCACTCTCCTCTGTAAACTCTAATGGCATATTCCTCCTACTTTGTAGGACTCACAGGTGTGCTACTACCGTGAAGCCTGGAAATCAACAAGTTAATGAGGCAAAACATTCTAATCACTGTTGTTAGAGTACCATGTAGCCAACCCAGCAGATGTTAAATTATACCCACCTCCAGAGACTGGGCAAGAGCCAACTTCCAAAAGAAAGAAGAAATTGGAAGGGTATGGGGGGAGGGGAAGTTGAGCTCTTCAGAACTTCTCCTCTTAGAGTGAGTGGAACCAATCAATCAATCAAAAAATATTTATTAATTGCTTATTCTGTGGCTGCCACTAAGTTAGGCTCTGGGAGTGTAAACACCAAAAGAGACAGTCCCTGCACTCAAGAAGCTTAAATTCTATATGTTGGTGGATACAATATTTCTTTTTTTTTTTTTAGTGACTTCATATCTATAATGGGTTTTGTATATCTTGCTTTCTCACTGAGTAGGGGAGGGAATGGGGGAGTGAGAGAGAATTGGGATAGAGAGATTAAAAGTAAATAAGGCTATATTTACAAAAATAAAGAACACAATGATGGAGGGGAAGACTAGCAGCTAGGGAAATCAGGAAAAGGCTTCTTTAAAGGGGTGGTTTTTGAGGTGAGTCTGGAAGAGAGCTAGTGGTTCAAGAACTGGAGGTGAAGAGGGAACCATTCAAGGAAGGGGACAACCTATGCAGAGATGGGGAGATATGAGGGAAAGTTAGAGAAGAACAAATAGCCAGTTTATCTGGAATACAGAGTATGTGAGTGGGAGTAATGCATAATCAGCATGGAGTGAGGTTATGAAGTGCTTTAAATGCCAAGGAATTTTGTATTTAACCTAAGGAAATGGAAGAAACTCTGAAGCATCTAGAGGTAGGGTAATGACATGATAGGACCTATGCATTACAAATATTAGTTTGGCTGCTCAGCTGGATTGGAGCAGGTAGAAGTTGTTTGAAGAGAGACCAATTGAGAAGCTATTATGATAGTGTGGGTGAGAGATGACAAGAGTCTGACATAGGATTGTTGTGGTCCAAATGTAGAAACAGGGCTGTAGATATTTTGATGCTAAAATCAATAATACCTGGCAATTGGTTGACTATGGGAAAGTAAGTGAGAGTGAAGAGTTGAGGATGACTCCTAGGTAGTGAAACTAGGTGGCTAGAATGATGATGATGCCCATAACAAAAATAAGGAGGTTGGGAGGAGGGGCAAATTTCTGGGAATAGATAATAAGTTCAGTTTGGGACATGTTGATTTTGAGATGCCTATGGGATATCCAATTCAAAATATCTGAAAGGCAGTGTAGATTATGGTAGTAGAGCTCAGGAGACTGATTATACCTGGATATGTAGTTATGAGAGTCATCTGCATAAAGATGACAATTGAATCCATGTTGAGATCACTAAGAAAGAGATTGTCGAGAGAAGAAGACAGGAATAGTCCCCTTTTTCAGAAAGAAACATCTGGGCCAAGCAGAATCCTCCCTTAATCTCCCAACCAGAGCCTTGAGGTGAGCTCCTAACTTATTAGAAAGACATGAATGGATGAGGTTGGCACAGGAACACTTTCTTCTCCAACCAAAGTGGCCTCCATAGAACAGGCCAGACCAATCTCTAGGCTACTAGTCCACTAGGCTATTTCTAGAGGCAGTGGGCCAAAACTTCTCCTTCACATAAAAGTTTAGCACATACTATGCATGACCCATCTAGATTGTAAAATACTTGAGAAGAGGGTTTTATCCATTTTGCCTAGCACAGTGTTAAGCAAATGGTATTACAATACAGTTGAAATGTGTCTCAAAGATCATTTAGTCCAACTCCACACGAATCATGAATATAACAATATTATATTAGTATTATTATATTATAACATAATATAATAATGAAATAATATTATATTATATTTTAAAGCAGCTAGCATTTATATAGACCTTTAAGGTTTGTAAAGTGTTTTCCATATGGAATCAAATTTGATCTTTACAACAACTCTGTGAGGTAGGTGCTATTATTCCCATTTTAGAGACTGGGAAACTGAGGCTGAAATTGCTTAGGATCATACAGAACTAATAAGTGCCTGAGACAGAATGTGAACTCAAAGCCTCTTGATTCCAGGCAGCTAGGTGGCATGCTGGCCTTGGACTCAGGAAGACTCACCTTCCTGAATTCAAATCCAGCCTTAGACACTTACTAGCTATGTGACCCTGGGCAAGTCACTTCACCCTATCTGCCTCAGTTTCCTCATCTGTAAAATGAGCTGGAGAAGGAAATTGCAAACCACTCCAGTATCTTTGCCAAGAAAACCCCAAGTAGGTCACAAAGAGTCGGATATGACTGAAACAAGTCAACAACAACAACCCCCTGTTTCCAAGTCAACATCTAGGTAGGTGACTTGGAATCAGGAGGACTTGAGTTCAAATAGCTGCCGTGTCTCATATATTCCCAGCAAGAGGTCCTTGAGGAATTTTGCCTGAATATCTTTAGCACCAGGGACCTCACTACCTTAAGTGGCAGCTCATTCCATTTTTGGAAAACTCCAGTTGTTAGGAAGAGCTACCTTAAGCTAAAATCAGCCTCTTTATGATTTCCACCCATTGGGTGCTACTCCTGCCCTCTGGGACCAAAAGAATAAATCTATTCCCTTCTCTACATAATAGCTCTTTCAGTATTGGAAGCCACCTATTTCATGGTCCCTTCCCTTGAGGTAAATGCTGATGATACAAGCAGCCAGCTACTTTTACCAGTTCAATTTCCAACAGCCCCAGCTTTTGTAACCCAACCAAATGATTGTATTCTCTCTTTGTTTCTAGTATTTCTGCCTGTTGCTTGTTATCTTCCTCATTGAGCTGGTGGCTGGAGTTCTTGCCCACCTTTACTACCAAAAGGTGAGTAGACCAGTTTTCTTCCTCCGTGGTCTTCCTCCAGGGTCTCATCTTTATGTGTTATTGTGAGTAGGCAAGGAGAAGGAATAAACTGGGGCAGAGAGAAGATGGAGAGACAGAAAGGCTGCCAAGTCCTCAAGTGTCCCTATACCTCTGACATACTTGGCTGCTTCATCCTAACAAAGATTCTTTCTTTTTATTTTTAATAGTATTTTATTTATCCAATTATATATAAAGACAATTTTTAACATTTTTACAAAATTTTCAGTTCTAAATTTTACTCCCTTCTTCCTTCTCTCCTCTCCCCTCTTCCTAAAATAGTAAGCAATTTTATATAGGTTATACATGTGCAATCATGTAAAACATATTCCATATCAGTCATGTTGAGAAATAAAAAACAGACCAAAGGAAAAATCACACAAAACATGAAGAAAATGAAAAATAGTAGGTTTTGATCTTCATTCAGAGTCCATCAATTCTTTCTCTACATGTGGATAGCATTTTCCATCATGAGTCCTTCAGAATTGTCTTGAATCATGGTATTCCTAGCAAAGATTCTTAAGAAGAAATCAATCAACAATTATTTATTAAGTGCCTATGGTATGCCAAACCTTGTGCTAAGCGTGCAAAGACAAAAAGGAAACAATTCCTTCCCTCAAGAAGCTTATATTCTAGCAGGAGAAATGATACATAAACATATAAGTACATACAAACAATATAAACCAAATAAAGGCAAGGAATGTAAGGGGATGTTCCAGAATCCGGGGGGATCAGGAAAGGCCTCATGTAGGAGGTAGGGCTTGAATTGACCTTTGCCAAGGACTAGGAATTCTAAGAACCAGAGACCACAAGGGAGTGCATTCCAGGAATGGGAGGCAGCCTGTTCAAAGACGTAGAGATGGGGAGATAGAATGACATGTGTAAAGAGAAGCAAGAAGGCTGATTTGGCAAGACTGGACAGCTCATGAGGGGCAGTAATATATAATAAGCTCAGAGAGGTGGGCTGGAGCCAGGGTATGATGAACTTTAAATGCCACAGAGAAGAGTTTGTATTTGATCCTGGAGTTAGCTGCAAGGCCTGGAATTTATTGAGTGACAAGGCCAGACTTGTGCTTTAAGAAAGTCATTTTTGGCAGCTATAAAGAGGAGGGATTGGAAAGGGGAGATGCTGGATGGAGAGAGACCAACCAAGAAGCCAATGCATTAACCCAGGCAAGAAGTATGAGGGCTTGAACTTACAAGGTGGCTATGTCAGACAGAAGAGTCAGAGTCTCCTTCTGGGATAATTATGGGGCAGTTCTTCCCTAAAGCCAGAGGATGAATTTATTTCCCTTTCAACCCTAGGGTCAATAATTTAGTCAATGATTTAAGAACCTAATTAATCAATGTTGCCCTCACCCAGATAGTACACCCAAATGGAAAGGTGTGAAATAAATGTGAGATGTGGGCCAGGCAGAGCAGTAAGGACTGACTCAGTTTATTCATCTAAGGGTACAGGATATATAGAGAAAATCCATCTTAACTTCAAAGAGTCCTTCCCGTGAGACACTCCCCAAAATGTCTGCTAAGGATGTGATAACATACATTTCCTCCTTATCAGAGTTCCTAGATAGGGTTGTAAATTCCAAGGCTTTTTCCTGGTGCCTGTATAGAGGAGTGAATATGTAAATCTAAGGTTCAAAGAGTGAGAAGGAATGTCTCAAGAATCTCTTAGCAGGGAGGGATTTGGAGAGCCCTGCTTCTTAATTATTGAGCCCTTTGGGTTAAAGCCTGGGCAAAGGTCAAACTCTGTCCTGGATCTTAAACCCATATCGGACTCTTAAGGCTGGCCCTCTACAAATCAATCAATATTTAACGAGTGCCTTCCCTGTGTAAGGAACTGTGGCTGATGTTGCATGGAGAAGGAGGAGGATAAGGAAGAGAAGGAGGAGGAGGAGAGGAGGAGGAGGAGAAGAAGAAGAAGAAGAAGAAGAAGAAGAGAAGAAGAAGAAGAAGAAGAAGAAGAAGAAGAAGAAGAAGAAGAAGAAGAAGAAGAAGAAGAAGAAGAAGAAGAAGAAGAAGAAGAAGAAGAAGAAGAAGAAGAAGAAAGCATTTCCCAGCTTCTTTTTGAATCAGCAGGTTGGGTGCCCAGAGGGCTGCTACTACTACTTGCACATAACTTGGTAATCACAGTTAATAAACAAAACCTTCTCCTAAGACCACAGTCTTCTCCTAAGAACCACAATGTGGTTCATTCCTTTACACAAACACACACAGCACCCATAGAAGGAGCACGCTTATTAAACTTTGACCATAATAGTAGTGAGCCACAGCATAAAAACTATGTATGACAAGGTTTAAGTCACATCACCTGCTCTGTAAGTCCTTCTCTCTGTGTAGAGACCTCATGCAGAACCTTTATCATTGTTGTTCTTGTTCATCCTTTGTATTTGAATGGGCCCAATGACACCTCAAGTGTGATGTCTTGACTTGTACATGAATTGGATTTCAGTGAGGCAGAGCTGTGCAAGTCATCAGCCTTGCTCTCTCTTCCAGAGTAGGTAGGCTGGGGCCAGATGGAGATCACTGAAAGCTAGGCTAAGGAATTGGGGCCTGACTGTATGAAACTGAGTCACATCTCTGGGGAAACTAAGGCGAAGGGCTACACTCTAGTCAACACAAGGGATACCATCATTGCTGATCATCTCATCATAAGGTGCATGACCATGAACTTAAGCAGAGGATGGGTGTACATGGCCTGGGATATGAAAGCTCTTAAAAGCAAGTGGTGCTTGTTATAATTTCTCATTCTGTGCCATTCCTACTTCTCTCTATCTCTCTCTTTCCCAGCTAAGTGAGGAGCTAAAACAGCATCTGAACCAGACTCTGACTGAGAACTACGGCCAGCCCAAAGCAAAGGGGATCACATACTCAGTGGACCAACTGCAGCAGGATGTAAGATGCCTCCCCCTTTCTTAGCTCCAAAATTCTGTTCCCTGTATTCATTCAGTCTCTAAATCCATTCTACATCCTTCACTTCCCTGGCTTCCCTGTAAAAAAGGAAGCTAGCTGCACCATATTCAGGCAAGAATCAAAGACCAGGATAACCCAACTCCAGAAATCTTTTTTCTGGGAAACGCCATCTTTTCTTTTCTTCATTTTTGGCAATCTTGTAGCAGAGTGTTCATCTGCAGGAAATTTGCCCATGATAGTTTGCTGAACACACTTTACAGGTAGGAAGAAAAACATGTGTGAATTGAACCACAGACAGAACATACTGTGTGTTGTAAAATAATGAGATAGTTCATTGAGGGACACATTGTTGGAATCTCTTTCCCCAAAAACAGTAGGAGGATGCCCATTTATGAAGAATGAAGGGCAAACAAAGAGCAAGAGAAAAGCCAATATCCTGGAGGCTGAATATAGTGATGTTGTGGTCTAAGGGTCTTGGGAACCCCGAAATGCAAAGGGTAAAGGGCATAGGTCTGCCTCAAAAGAATTCGATCATTCAAGCCTTCTTGTAGTGAGTTGGGGTGGGCAAGATTCCTAGTGAGTCTGTGCTATGTATTAGTGACACCAGTATAAGTGGGCCAGATTTTAAGAATCTGAGCATTTGATGAGAATAAAATTGGTACTTTTATACAGAAAGACTTATACAGAAGATCTGGATGGGATCTAGGAGTAGCAAGTAGTCTGGGGTGGTCTGGAGGTAACAGAGAAAGGGGTCTAATTGGGATTAAGGAGTGTCAAGTAAACTTATTAAGAAATCAAGGTGGGCTGATATGGGCCAGATGCCTCAGAAAAATGCCAGGGACTGGGCCATGTGGGAAAGTCCAGGGCTTTTTAGGGGTCCATCATTAGCACCCCATCAAAGTGAACACCAGAGAGCTGGATTCAGAGGCTTTGAGGTCCAGGTCCCAAAGACATGGTCTTTTCCTTTTAGAGGTCCAGCACAAATCCCATCCTCCATCATTCTCCCCTCAAACAAATGGGACCCAAATTCTTTTGGGGTAAAGGGCGAAGGTCTCAGCTTCTGAAACTGCTTCTTGCTGGCAGGGGAGGTAGAGCTGTCCTTGCCTCAAGGTGGTCCCAGAGAGGAGATTGCCTGGAATTAAGCACAAGCTGCATCCAGGGGATGATGGGTGGACATTGGCAGGTACCCATTCTTTGCTACCAACTGTAGATGAATAGCCTAGAAGACACAAATCTGTCAAGCAAGTGTGACAAGCAAGTTCAATATGGATGGCCCAAATATAGGGAGAAGTAAAAGTGGTGTCCAAATGGGAGAAAACAAAGAAAGAAAGCAAAAGCCTCATTAGAATCATTCACATTTTGACATACAAGGTTATCTGATCTTGTTACTTTCTCAAAAGTTTCTGCTCTAATTCCAGTTCCTTTAGGAGAATTAGATGCCACTGGGAAGTAACAACACTTTTGCAGGTAGAAGTTTTCCACTCCTGGATTCAGTAGTTACACAAAACAATTTACCAGGTTCTGACTTTTACTACAACTATAACAAAAGACTTGGGAGGATACTTAAGTAATGACCAGGCCAAATAGGTTACTTCCCTCTAAGAAAATTGATTACACTGAAATTCTCTTCCCCAAACCAAACTAAAGGTGTTTCTGATTTAATTTCAGCTGTTTGGGATATGGAAAGGACTATAAGTTTAGGCTGAGTAGCTCAGATTTTAAACACATGTTTTATTATCCCAGCCTTAGTCTAAGGGATAGTAATTCACATGACTATGTAGGCAGGCAGATGACAAGCCCCCAAGTACTAATTTACTGACCATTTTCTCTGATTATAGAAATTTGCTATAAAAGGATAAAGCGGAGACAAGATTTATACAAGTATGACAGGATAAAACATCCTTAGAATTCAGATAATTCAGTTTTCCAACCATGCAGTATCAATTCCACCTCATAGCCAGACTTGAGAATAGCCAGGTGGATAGCATTCCTTTTCAAAGGAACACAGTGGGGAAACTGAGCCAGGAGGATGGCATCTTAGATTGAGGTTAAAATTGTCCTCTCAGGTTTTCCAGATGCAGACTTCCACCTGTATCACATTCTCTCTGAGTAGCTTGTGGCATTTCTCTCAGATGGTAGATTATTGGCTATTGATTATGGATGGATGGTTATGATCCATCAGACAACTCAAAACCCAAACTGTTATAGTCCCAAGAGTTTGCTCAAAAAGCAAGTTTTGCTAATCACAGCTTAGGAAACATTTTCCAGGATTTACATCTCAAACTTAAATTTGTCCTGATATAAAAGCCAACTGTTAGAGATCACTTTTATATACTTATGAATTCTCAGCAAGCCAAGTTCATTGTTTAGGAACTCCATAACCAAAACAAGCTTTTCGGCAAGTTTATAAAATAAAGGGGAATCAACAGGAACCCCAGAGAAAGGGCTTCCTGTTCACCCCATCTGCCCTTAGAGCTACTATGGGCTGCACCTTTTGACTAGCCATGAGGACTGCTGTAAATGGGCAGAATCAATCTGGATAAGGCTTTCACCTCATCCCCTCTTTTCCATACACAGTAATCAGTTACCAGTTTTAAAACAATAACACACAATCTTACAATTTTCATAAGTGATAGCCAAATCGTTTTAGCTGTAACACAAACAATAAGCTTCAGGTGACATCCATTGCATTTACAAATTACTTTACACAGAGTATTGGCATCTCATCATTAACATGTTAAAACTACAATTTTTAAAAGAGCAGGCTTACCGAAGTTCAGAGTCTGGCTAGCTTCTTACCTCGTACTACCTTAAAATCACTTTCCTCTCTCCCCACAGCTGCTGGGGGGGAGGGGAAGGGTGGTGAGCAGCAGGCACTGAACCTGGGTGATACTTCCAGGCAGGCTAAAATTGTCCTCTCAGCTTTTCCAGATGCCCCAGGATCAGGGACATTGCCAGTGGGGCCCCACTGTAGCTGCTGCCCCTCCCACCCCCTTCCTTTCACCAGGTAGGGGAGGGTGACTCAAATTCCCTACCATTCTCCAGTACTCTCTTCTCTTAGTCTGATTGAAATGAGAGGGGTAAACAACAACAACAAAAAAAAAACCCAACAATAACAACCCCAGGGGTGTTTGCAATCCCGGCACTGAGATACCTTCTTGACTCAAGAGAAGTGGGGGGGGGGGAAGGGGTGAACAGGATATGTAAGGAGGAGTTTCAAAACTTGTTAATGATCCATCACAAAACCTCCAGAATCTGCTAAGATGCTTTTAGCTGTTCTAACTCATGTTCCAACACTGTAGCCTTAGTCTGGTCAGAGCCAGAACTACAGGAAGAAGAATCTTAAGAATTTTTTTTTGGAACTTTTACAATTTTTCTTGGTCCCCTAGACCACACTGAGGCCAGGCATAAAGCTTTCCTTTTCAAGGTCTTGGAGACTGAGCTTTTTCCAGTTCTAACCTAGGGGCAAATCTTGGGGAAGTCCCACTGAGTCCAGCTTTGAGGATCCAGTGGCCAAATAAGGTCAGCAGAGAAGGGAGATCCTGCAGGCACCAGAGTGAGGACAGGGAGTCCCTTCATGAAGAAGGATCCCAGGACAGGGAGGGAGTAAGCCTCAGGAAACCAAAAAAGCATCTGCAGTTTTCCTAGTTCCCTAGCATCATAGGGAATTGAGGGAATTGGGCAGATGTTTCTGGATAGGGTGTCCATCTTCTGTTTATGAAGGTCTTCGTGGTCCAAGACAGCCTACTAACTGTCTAACCCAAATAGAACCTGAGAGCATCAGGCCTGAAAAGCAACTCCAAGCCTTCCTAGATGCTTGGAGAGCAACCCCAAGAGATAGAGAGAGAGGGGAGGCTTACATACCCTCCATCTTGGCTGGAGAAGGGCTTGAAGGGGTCGGGCAATTCCTGGTCAGGGAACCAAATGTTGTGGTCTAGGGGTCTTGGGAACCAGGAAATGCAAGGGCAAAGGGCATGAGTCTGCCTCAAAAGAATTTGATCACTCAAGCCTTCTTTCAGTCCAAGTAGTGAGTTTATTAAAACACTGGTTGGGGTGGGCAAGATTCCTAGTGAGTCTGTGCTATTAGTGATGCCAATACAAGTGGGCCAGATTTGAATAATCTGAGCATTTGATGAGAATAAAATTGGTACTTTTATACAGAAAGATTATGGGAAGATCAAGATGAGATCTAGGAGTGGCAAGTAGCCTGAGGTGGTCTGGAGGTAACAGAGAAAGGAGTCTAGATGGAATTAAGGAGCGTCAAGTAAGCTAATTAAGTAATCAAGGTGGGCTGGGGTGGGCTGGATGCCTCAGAAGAATGCCTGGGACTGGGACATGTGGGAAAGTCTGGGGCTTTTTAGAAGTCCATCATTAGAAGAGGCGTAATCCTCAAGGATAAAAATCTACAAATCCCCTTCTAAATACAAGCTGTGCTCAGCTTCTGTTGAATTGGATCATTGGAAGGAAGTGACTAATGGCCAATTAAATACCCACGAACAGCTCAGCAAAAAGACTGCTATAAATAAATAAAGCCTTCCTTAGAAGCACCCAGGAGAAGATCAGACAGTTTATAACAGTTCACTACCAGAGAGACCTACAGGTGCTTCCAGCAAGATTAATAGGAACCCTGAGAATTCAGACTCTCACTTCCTGCAAGTATGAAGGATAAAGAGAATTTGTTAGGGCCAAATAGCTGTTATATGTGTACCAAGTGCAGGCTGGCATTCTTTCTAGAAGAGAAACTGAAAGTATTATCAGAGGATGGATCCAACTCACAATTGGAGATTGTATAGGAGGAGATAGAGTTGGGCTAAGGCTATTACCTTCTTCCGGCTTCCAGGAGACAGACGTAGAAGCCAGAGAGCTGAGTCTTATCCCAGCCAACTGTTGCAATAGCTGGAACTGCAGCAACAACAGCATCAAGACCACTAGAGAAGTAGGACCAAATGGGGCATGCCTATTCCATCTAAGAGCATAAGTGA